ACTAATGTGAATGGTGTGCATGAAAAGTTAATAATGCATGATCGATTGATCTAGCATGATTAAAATGCTTTTTATTTTTAGTATATGTATAAGGTGGACCAAGTCCGGGTATACTCTAATTTATTTATGATTCATTGAAATGAATAATAAGAAAGAGATGAATGAAACTGATGTGAATATTTGTGAATTTCTGAGAAAATGTAAGAGAAAGGAAAAAGAATAATTAATATATATGTCATAAAAACACCGATTAGGATGATCATAATATATCGACGGGTAAGATTATAACACATATGTTATAACATATTGATTATTGAGATTGTAACATTTGTATTAGGATAATATTGATTGGTATAATATTATAATTTTGTGTGCTACTGTTGAGTTTCCATATGAATAGTTTAAAGATACACTAAGGGTATAGAGTTCAGAATGATGTATATGGATAAATGATTGTATATGATTTATTGCGAAATGATGTGTATGGATGATCTATGTCTGCTTAGAATTATTTTATAGTTATTTATATTTTGATGCATGATATATTAGAAAATATTGTCTGTATTACTTTGACTATATTGTGACATGAGAATTTAATGGAGTGGAGGATACTCACATTTACTAATATTTTTAGGTAAAGAATATAAGGATCATACTTGTAATGGATTGTAAGGAAAGTAATTGCTCTATTAGAATTAGTTTATTTAGAGAAATGTAATCATATTAAATGAATTTTCATTCAAAACTTATAATATTTTGATAACCTTTATTGTAAATGATTATTTAAAGTGTATGTGTAATATTTAATAGTTAATTATTTTGAATTTTAATTTATATTCATATCTAGTTAGAAATTTAATTTACTAAAAAATAGTTTTGTTTGTATTATGAACTCGAATTATATATATAACATGAAATTTTAGCTTTTATCCTAATTATAAATTTAAGTTATGAAATTATATTTTTATTCTTATTATAAATAAAATTTTTATTTAAATAAAATATTAAAATTTGCTTACTTTTATTAGTTTAGATTTATATATTTGTACAACTTTTCAAAATCATCTAAATTTTTTACAATTTCAATTAAATTTATTAAAAAATCAAATAATTATTAAAAAAAATTATTTAAATTTTAGAGAGGATGTTACACTTTATCTATGAACTCCATCACAGAACCCTTTTGTCAATGCATACAAAGCAATTGTAGAACAAAGTCTAGGCTCTTTCCAAAGAGCAACGTAGAGGTAGGTATAATATGATATTCTAACTCTTGGATTTTTCAAGGTGGAAAGTATGACATCTTTAGCTTTTTCAAATGACATCTCTTTTAAATCTTGGTGAGTAGAAGTGTCAAGTCTTGGTTAGTAGAAGTTTTCCTTAATCAGTAGAAGAAGATAAAAAATTGTAAAAAATAAAAATGCAATTTTTTTTTGTAAAAATAGAAAATAATTTAAATAAATTTTCTATTAGAATTTTTTTTCCCGTTGTTATTATACTACTCTTAGTATTTTAACAATAACTTTTAATTTTTCCCTTTGCACTGATGAGATTCATTAGAACTTGCTGGTTTGTTGCTTTGCATTCAAGGCATTCAAAACAGGTCAAAACCCAATTGACTAATTGAAGATAAATAATGAGATAAATTTTTGAAAGTATCAGACAAATTAAATTTTAGCCAGCTTATCTCATTCCAAAAAATAGTTTGTTTGCAATGAATTGAGTTAATGCAGAAGCCACTTTTTTTAAAAAAAAAATCTTATAATTATTTGGACTTAATCGTTAAATTAATTAAGGAAAGATTTCTTAAAGGACAATTATCCAGTAATTAAGGATTTATGTTAGGGTAATGTTCAAAAAATAAAATAAAGAAGAGCTAATTACAATTATCCAATCAGTATCCTATTGGTATATTGTAATATTTTAAAAATAGTATATGGTATCTGTGCCTCAAAGATTGCCGAAACGTTAGAAACCAAAATTAATTTTAGACATTATATGGTATCTATGCATTATAGTTATATTTTACAAGTCAAAAATAATGGTTAAAAATAAAAATTTACAACTTTATAGACATATTGAACTGGCATCGATTATTTATTTATTTATTTGCTGTAACTAAAATTAATTCTAACTTCTTCTAACAATAAACCAAGCAGAGAAGAAAAGAAACGTATTAGTTAAACCCAAACATAACTCGATTCAGAATACAAATCCAGCCCATACGATCTCGAATTTGGCTCAATAAGCGTATGGACACGGCATCACGTGACTCTTTAATTTCCGAAAGCATTTTTCGACCAAATTTTTTTGCTTGTGCTGTGTAGCTCTAAATTTTTTGATAGGTACTGTATTTAATAATTGTACTGATAAAAGAATATATGATAAATTATATATAATTTATTATTAAATAAAGTTTAAATATTATTAAATAAAAATTTTTCTTGTATTGTATCCTAAAAGCTTTAGATATATCATATAATATACTAAATATTTTTCTAAAAGTATTTATCAATAAATTTTAATTTTTGATTTTATTACTACTATTATTATTATTTTTTTAATTTTTTTATTCGATTTAATTTATATCTGACTCAGATCGCGTGCTTTGATATGACGAGTGAGTTTATCACTTAATTTTTTGTATATATTAAAACTCGAACCTAAAATTTTATTTAAGTGATATCAACTCACTTGTCACTTGAACTAATCTCTTTTAATTTTTTTTTTCTTTTAATTATGGGTTGACATGCTTATACGATAGAATAAAACTATAAATACAAATAATCAACATATGTTAATTAAAAATAAATTATTGAAGTCATGAAATGAATTATAATTTTTTTTTATTAAACCAGGAAAGCATACGACGACCTACTTGTATTATCCACTGCAGTGCCCACATACCGTTGGTAATTAATGTTGCAAGGGACGTTAAAGCTAGCACAAAAAGTTAGGTATAGATTATATGTGGCTATCTTTTCAATTGGCCACCAAATTAATGTACTACTATTTTTTTAAAAACTTCTTAGTATATATCCAGAAAATGTCCCTATTTGCAACTTAACAAAGCTTGACATATCATTTTGATTATGGGTGTATCTAGAAGATGTTTCTATTAGCCTTAAAAACAATTTGACATGGTCGTTTCAACAAATTTCCTTGTCCTAACTGCATAATATCAGTTCAACTATAAGGTGGACTATGTTACTTATGTCTTGTTTTTAGGATAAGCTATTTAATATATTGTTGTTAACATGGGCACGCCTCCCTATTGCACCAGAATAATGAGTTTTGTTGCACCAATTATTCGATTAAACAAACCTTGCCCAACATAACTGGCAAATCTTACGTTATTTTTTTTTCTTCTGTGGTTTACTGCCCCCTTTGATTATTTATATTTTTTTTTTTTCAATTTTCAATCCATCTTTACCAACTTGTCATAAAGTTACGAATTTGGAAGACGTGGTGAAGAACAATAGAGACAAAAAGTACCCGTTACAACAAACACGTATTAGGATGATGTGCAAATATAAGAGAGAGAAAATTTGACAAAATGTGTTTTTGCCGAAATTCTCAAAACCGAAAGATTATAGTGAAAGCCGCCATTGGGCACCAACTACGTACTCAATCAATGCGCGTATAAGACACCTTCATTACCATTGTTCACTCCCATAATGTTGACCAACGTTAGTAAATCACGCAGTATTTCAGGGTGCATTATTGGCCAGCCAAGTGGCTTCACTATCAACAATGGGGGTCATTAACAGGCATCATTAAACGCTATATATATATATATATATATATATATATATATATATATATATATATATATATATATATATATTATCAATTAAGAACTTTTACATTCAATGTGAAATTTAATAACTTTTTTAATAAGATTGACTAATTTAATTATTTTATATTATTTTAATATTTATATATATTTTAAAAAATATTATACATTAAAATAAAATAATGTAATGAAGTATTTTTAATTTTATTTTTATATAAAATTTTATAAAATTAATCATTTGATATAAACTTTGGAACCATCAAATATACTAATTAATATTATATTTTATAAAAAATCATTAAGCGATTTAAATATCTAAATTTAACCTTAGTGTAAACAATTCAAACCCATATATTATATGTTCATTTTTTAAAACTCTACATTGTCATTATATTAAAAAAAACAATGGTACTATGATTTTATTTTTTAATTCTAAGCCTCCAAGATATTACCAGAAGACATTCTAGTTTTTATTTCCTTCTCGTTTAACGAAGCAATTCGAAGAATTTATAAATAATTTATATCTGCTCATAAGTTCTTTAAATCTTATTTAAATAAATTTAATATTATAATTATCAAAATAATTGTTTAAAATTTATTCTAATAATCTTATAATTAGTGAATAACGCTTAAGCCAAATGATAAGATAACCTTGCTAGATAGTATTAGTTAGTATCTTTGAAGATATTGATTGAAAATAATAAATATTTTTAATTAAAAAGTATAATGTATTTTAATTAAAAATTACAAGGGATGTGCTAAAAACAAATTGTATAAAATGTTTTCATTTATTTGTTGTTTCTTAAGCAGAGTTTCAAAGGTAATCATAATTGTTTATGATAATAATAATTATTTATGATGACAGCAACAACAGAATCAAAGTTGAGGGTTTTTGTTTTTCTTCTCTACTCTGTTTCTGAGTTTGTCTATTGGAAGAATGGCAAGGGTAGCTTCACCAAACTTTTACAGCCAATATAAATGCTGATGGAGGGTGAGTAGATAAACCATTCAAACATAAAAGAGACACAAAGAGCAGAAAGAGGTTAGTAATAAAATAGCGCTACAAAAATTGTTGAGATATTCCCTACCAAAATTGGTCACCGAATTTATTGCTTTGGCTCAACCCCCTCCTTCCCTGCTGGCTCAAATGCACTTTTTCTGTCTTCAAAATTGATCTATCTGTATATACCCCTTTACCTTTTTTATTCCAAGCCACATATATAAACTAAGATCATTAATCATTATCATCAACCATCCACTTCAACTGCAAGATACATTTCTGAAACACACACACCAAAACATTCCATTCCATTCCAGTTCACAATGCCAGAGGTTTACACTGTGAAGGTTGAGGAGGGAAATCCTGCAACTGATGGAAAGCCTTCAGTAGGCCCTGTCTATAGGAGCATTTTTGCCAAAGATGGTCTCTTGGAGTTGCCTTCTAATTTTGAGTCTCCTTGGGATTTCTTCAGGTTTTATACATAATTTTGTTTAGTTTTACTTCTCATCAAATGAGATTATCAAGTAAATTGGTCCTCTATAAACTTATCTATAATGCATAATGTTATTTTATTGAAATTTACTCAACTATCAGCATATGTATAATGCAAAATGTTACCTTGTAGGAACATTTTAATGATAAGCTTCTCCTTTGAACGATGGGAAAACCGTTTTGTTCTGTTTTGTGACACTGCAGAACCTGATTTTAATTTATAGTTTTTGTTTAGTAAATCATAATTCATCAGTAGCATCATTATTACTGCGCTCTAAGCTACTCTGCTAATACTGATTTTGATTTATAGATTTTGATTTTGTTTATTAAGTTCTTCATCTAAATTGCATATATCATAATGATGTGTCAAATGGTTATTTATGTTATACTCTTATAAAAAATGTTACATATCACTACTTTACAGAATAGTTTGGATAAAAATCGTGATACTAACATTGATTATAGCTAGAAACTGCCCAAAATCAATAAATAAATAGATAAATAAGAAGAGTACAAGAAGTTAAAAACTTCTGCTAAGCTGCCGAAAGAGAAAGAAATGCTATCTCCGAAAAGGCTTGAACATATATTAAAGTAATAGTAGTATTTAACTGTGAGCATGTCTTCTCAGCAATTTTGATGCTTCCTTTGGCAGGGACTCTGCTAAGAGGAACCCCAACAACCCAATGCTGGGTAGGCGTCAAAAAACGGATTCTAAGGTACAGATTTCATGTTTTTTCTATTCGAAAATTTAAAAAATGTCTTAGACACCAAATAAAAAATAGAACATAAAATCTTTGTCTGAAAATATATTACCAACACATTTTTTAGTGATTTTTAATATAACTTTACCGCAATTTTTAATAATAAAAAAATTATTTATCGATTCTTTAACTTAGCAAGGCACATTTTCATGCAACTTTTGTTGGCATTAAAGCCACCTATTCGTGTTTCCTCTCTTCTAATTTAAGGATTTGTCTAAATTATATAATGGAATAAATAATTCCAGTTTAGATGGAAAAATGAAATTTTGTTTATAAATTTTTTTTAAAAAAATTACAATTTTCAATACAATATTTCAACTTCAATGATCCAACCGAAATAGAGTATTTATCTTATAGAATAAATCCCTGACTTGAAAGTGACACTTGAATAAAGAATAATATTCTCTCTCCTGATTTAGTGTATTGTGCCTACATGTCATTTTTCAATTGAGGGAACATAAAACAGGATACCAAATGGGGACAGGTTCTATTGTTATGGATAACTGTACAATATAAGAGTCTAAATTATTGAAAAATAATAATAATTCTCTTAAATTTTGAAAACATCATCATGGGATCATTGTGCTGAATTTGCAGGTGGGTCCCTATGCATGGCTCACGTATCAAGAGGTTTATGCCGCTGCCATGAAAACGGGTTCTGCCATGAGGAGCCGTGGTGTCAATCCTGTGAGTCTACAACCCTCTTTGCTCTTTCAAGATACCTTGCATTGGAACCACTAAATGTGAAATTAATAATCTAACTAGTGGTTTGATATCCCAAGGGAGATCGTTGTGGCATATATGGGTCCAATTGCCCTGAATGGATTATTGCAATGGAGGTATAGCACTTTGTTTGTAACACTAAATTTTCTTCATTCAATTATTATTACCAAAAATCCTGATAACTTATTGTAAATTAATTGGCTTTGTTGATTATTCCAATGAGACTTGATTAAACATTGCCATTTTGCAGGCTTGCAATAGCTGTTCAGTAACATATGTTCCACTATATGACACTCTTGGTATGTGTTTCCGGCCTTAACAAATGTCTTAATCTGTTTGCTTTTGTCATCTAATGACATTTCTTTTGAAGAACTTGTGGACACGAATTAGAGCGTAGTTCTTCAAGATTCTCTTTCTCAATTCTATCATTTTGGCATCTAGGAAATGATTTTATGTTGGGTTTATGCTAACAGGTCCAAACGCAGTGGAGTATATCATAAATCATGCTGAAATTTCAATTGCATTTGCACAGGAGAAAAAGATTCCATCAGTATGTTCTAGTTCTTTGAGCACAATATTTTTATTATTTCATGATGAACTGTCTAAAACATTCAATTGTTCTATCATTAAAGTTACCATTTTGACCGAGTCAACCTGGATTTAGTGTGACAAATGATTTTGCTGCTTCTATTATCTAGTTATCTTGCTTTGCTAGAAGCTTCAAACCACACTAGGATTATCTGTTTCTTTCTCATTGTTGACTCTCCCCTGGTAAATATGTATGTTATGGAAGGATCATCATTCCATTAGTCAACAAAATACGTTAACAATTAAATTGTCATATTATGAATGTTACTTTCAACCAAAACTATCTCCATCAGCTATCAAGTTATCAACCATGTCCTAACTTCTAAGAAACTTTGTGATGAGAAAATTGTCACCAATACCATCCTTATTAGATGAATAATTTATTCTATGATATTATGTGTGCCACTTGCTTACCTAAGTAATGTATAATCAGTTTCATATTTTGAAGTTGCAAATATGTCACACCTAGTGCCAGTTCTACTTTATGTTATCATTTCCTGCATTCGGTTGTAATTAGTAAGTTATCCATTGAAATTTTATAATCATAATTAGTTTATCATCAAACTAATATCTGTTTCCACAGATTCTGTCATGTCTTGATCGGTGTTCTTCAAATCTTAAAAGTAGGTGAAGCATTGCTATCGTTATTCCTAGATTAAGGGTCTTTCCTCAATTTTATGCTGACCATTGACCAAGCTCTGTAAATTATTGGTGTAGCTATTGTGAGCTTTGGAAATGTTTCATCCACACAAAAGAAGGAAGCTGAGGAGCTTGGCACATCTTGCTTCTCATGGGGAGAGTTTCTCCAGTTGGTAAGATGTTAATCAAAATTAGGAAAATGAATCATTTTTATAAAGTATTCTGAGACGTTATTATATAGGACTTATTTGGAAGAGCTTATGTAACATATGTAGAAATAACTTATGACTTCTATAAGATCTTTTTTAGCTTACTTCAACAAGTTTTTTGGTATAACTTATAAAAGTAAGTTGTTTTCAACTTATCTAAGGCTCAGTTTGGATAAACTTCACCATAAGTACTTATAAAAATAAAAAATTAAGAAGTAATATGAACTAATTTTTTTTATAAGTTAAAATTAACTTATACTTTTTCATTTTTTAGAAGTTAGTATAATTTAACTTCTCTAAAATTTGAAGAGAAAAGTTATTTTAAATTGATGAAAGAAGTTTGATTATTTTTTATATTATTTTACTTCTCTTATTCACAGTTCACCCAAACTAAGCTTTAATATAAGTCATTATTTAAAAGAGCTTATCTGAATGTACCCAAAACCATCCATATCACAATTTAATATCTTCCCTTTCTTTACCTTTCTGAAGGGAAATCTAGATTGGGATGTACCATCAAAAAAGAAGACTGACATTTGCACAATAATGTACACAAGTGGAACAACTGGGGAACCCAAAGGTGTTATTATTAAGAACGAGGCTTTCATGGCTGAAGTGTTATCTATTGACCACATTCTTATGTTAACAGACAGAGTGGTAAGATACCAACTTTTCTTGAAGCTTCATTAGTTTCATCTTATAATTTTGCCACGTGGCCCACTCCAATCTTTCCTTGACTGCCATGTTGATAAATGTCACAAATCACAATGATTCTCGAACGACAACATAATACTTGAAAGTTGAAATCAATGATGTAGCATTCAAAGCTCAATGATATTTTAGTTAATAAGATATGGTGGACAAAACTATGCTCATTGTGAAATGCTTTAGTACTACTGACAAGAAATATGTAACGTAACATCTTTTAGGCAGCGGAAGACGATGTGTACTTCTCCTTTCTTCCCCTTGCTCATGTATATGACCAGATAATGGAAACCTATTGCATCTACAAGGGCTCCTCAATAGGATTTTGGCAAGGCGTAAGATTTTGATTCACTTAATGGAATTAATTTCTGGTTCATTCTTTTTAATTGTTCTGTTTTAATGCTTCTTGTGGAATTTCCGGATTAATTTTGGCAGGATGTTAGGTTCTTGTTGGAAGATGTTCAGGCATTGAAACCAACTATATTTTGCGGTGTTCCTAGAGTTTTTGACCGTATTTATGCTGGTAAAACAAGAATGATTCTAAAGTTGTTCTCTTGTTATGTGACTACCAAATAATGATCTTACATTGACTTCAAATTTCTTATACTTGTGTAACTGCATTAAGCATTAACTATAAGCTTCTAACCTGAAGGTATAAAAAGCAAAGTTTCTTCTGGAGGAGCATTGAAGAATGCATTGTTCGAGTGTGCATACAACTAGTATGTTTTATCACTGAACTCTAAAGTGTTTAAGTTATTTGTACCTGCATAAACTAATCTGGAATCTATTGACAGCAAGTTAAGAAATCTGGAGAAGGGTCTTCCACAGCACAAGGCAGCACCTCTGTTTGATAGGCTTGTGTTTGATAAGGTATATTACCACTTATCGTTATGAGTTCTTTCAGAACGGTTGGTTTCTTTTTTCAAGACAAAAATGTTGGTTTTATTTATAGACAAAACAAGCACTAGGTGGACGTGTTCGCATCCTGTTATCAGGAGCTGCTCCTTTGCCTAGGCATGTGGAGGAGTTTATGAGGGTCACTAGCGGATCTACATTATCACAAGGATATGGTATGTCACATGCATCTTCCCTAAACACGTGTAGGAGGCATTTATAACATTTTGATGATGATTCTTCAAGATGGAACTTAGTTGAAGTTTTTGCATCAAAGCTAAATTTTGAATGAAGTCATATCCTATGAGAAATGGTTTAATCCAATAAACAATTCTAGCATGGTTTTTCATTCAGTGGTCATATGTTATTTATAAATGTGTATGCTAAATTAATTTATCATGATTTTGTTGTGGCAGGTCTTACTGAAAGTTGTGCAGGATGTTTCACAGCAATAGGTGATGTGTATTCTATGACTGAAACAGTTGGAGTCCCCATGACAACCATTGAGGCCAGGCTTGAATCTGTGCCAGAGATGGAATATGATGCCCTTTCCAATGTGCCGCGCGGAGAAATTTGTCTAAGAGGAAATACCTTGTTCTCTGGTTATCACAAGCATGAAGATGTTACTAAAGAGGTTTTGGTTGATGGTTGGTTTCATACAGGTATATCCATCTTGTTCAAGGTTCAAAATTTAAATAGTAATTCGTAAATCAAGGAAAATTTCCTTTCTCCATGCTTCATTATATTTCTCCACTTGAACTTTAGTTTAATTCATAAAGGAAAATGACCCTAAAAAGCCACTTGAACATTGTTTTCAAGGTATACTACCCCTATAACATACTGCATATAGAGTACTACTCAAATTCTTAAAATTGCCTCTCTCAAAGCAACATGTGTAGGAATGATATGGAAATCATTGCAGGTGATATTGGAGAATGGCAACCAAATGGAGCCATGAAAATTATTGACAGGAAAAAGAATATCTTTAAACTGTCTCAAGGAGAATATATTGCTGTGGAGAATATTGAAAACAAGTATTTGCAATGCCCTCTTATAACATCGGTATGCTTCTGCTTCTATCACAGAAAATTCTGTAAAATGAGAGAGATAAGAGTTATATTTATGTTTCCAAGGAAGGTTCATTTACAAAGTAGCATTGCAGTAATGCAGTGTACCTCAATCACTATATTTATGTATTTCAATAATTTATATATATATAAACACTTTTGTATGCAGATTTGGGTGTATGGAAACAGCTTTGAGTCATTCTTGGTGGCTGTGGTGGTTCCTGAAAGAAAGGCACTCGAGGATTGGGCACTAGAGCACAATTTGACTGATGATTTTAAATCTTTATGTGATAATCTAAAGGCAAGAAAGTACATTTTGGATGAGCTCAACAGCACTGGTCAAAAACACCAAGTAAGTATAAATAATTCCCCATCCTATGCTGTCAATTTTAGGTTGAATATGATATATTTTGCTTGTTCTGGCTACAACTGACATGAAAGAAACTAACAGCTTAGAGGGTTTGAGCTGCTAAAAGCTGTTTATCTGGAACCTATTCCATTTGACATGGAGAGAGATCTAATAACTCCAACATTCAAATTGAAGAGACCACAATTGCTCAAGTACTACAAGGTTTGCTTCATATGCTGTGATCAATATTCATAATTATTAACTTTTAGTGCATATTTTATTTTGTTTTTTCTGTTGTTTCCTTGACTTCTTGAATTATTAGTATGATTCACTATTGTGCCAAAGAGAAGTACTAGGAACACATTCTCTAATACACTCTCACTCATTGGTTGATATTTATTGAAACTCAAATAATTATGAATGAGAATCATTAAATAAGAAGTGAAACAAATGGATTTTTATAATTAAATTTTACCCTATGACAAAGAGTATGTTGCTAGAATTTCTCTTGTACCAAATGTGCAGCAGTTTTGTCTCCCATGCATTAGGACCTTTTGCTTATCAATAAATTCCAACCAGATATTGAGGTGCTTCACTTCAATAAATGAACGTTACCCTTTGCAACATTATTTTGCAGGATCATATTGATCAAATGTATAAGGAAGCAAAGGGAACAATGGTGTGAACCGTGTGACAAGTACCCAAGCCATTTGCAATAAATACTGATTTCTGGCAGTTGCGAGACAAAATCCATATGGTTTTCTGTACATTCTGGCTCATTGTTGTATTAACTAGTGTGAAAAGCTATAAACATAGATAGAATTAGTAGTATGTTGAAACAGCTACTCCGCATGTCATTCTTGTCAAAAGTCAATGCATTCGATATGTTTAAAAATTCTGAGAAATTTGACGGCCCTCGCAAAATCTATATTTTTTTCTCTTCTTTGGAACTCAAGTTCTTATAATTTAATTATATTTTCTTGTTACGGTAAAGCTTGTTTCATTTTAACGGTACAGTATTACGCAGAATATTATCGTTCAATCCACAACCTATAGCCAAGAGCATATGCTGGGATGTGGTTCAGTGGAACCTTATATTTTCACCCCAAGCGTCAACACTTTTCTCTTCTTGGAATTATCGTTGGAATTTAAATCAGTGATATTGATAAGCTTTAAAGTATGGTGTAAACTTCGATATTTTGGTTTGGCTAAGGCTATGTTTACGTTTGAATGTTACCTTGTGAGAGAGGAGAAAATGGGAAGAGAGGAGTTAGTAGGGTGTAACTCTCGTCCAGAAATTAACTAATTAAAAGAGGAAGAGTTAGGCAGTTTTTTTAAACTTTCTAAAAATATTACAGAATTTTTTAAAACCTTCTTTTATGATTGTGATTCTACCTTCTTCTTTTTTCAAAATATATTGGTTTTTAAAGTGAGAATTTTTTTTAAAAAAATTAATTTTAATAATATTAAGTTTTAGAGTGAGAAAAATAATTTTTTTTATTTTTTAAAAAATATATAAATAAAAAATTATAAAAGACAATAATGTCGTTTATGATTAAATTCTCCATTATCCTCCCTCTCAATATTAAACATTTAAACAAGAGAAGAGTTTAACCACCTTTCTCCTCTCTTCCTTCCATCTTCAACCCTTTTTTTTCTTTCTCCTCCAAACACCCAAACAAATTCTAAAAAAAATATCATAAAATATTTTTTTATATTAATATTCATAATAAAAATACATTAATAACATAAAATATTATGTGATAAACAAATTAGCAAGTGTACCAAATCGTTTGCAGTAATAAAATAGAATTTTATCGTTCACTGAAATTAATATTAAGTATTAAAATACAAAAATATTACTAGTTGGGTCGTAAAACAAAGTAAAAATATAAATGAAAATTTTAGATAATGAACATAATGTAAAAATGAAGCGTAAGTGCTCGAAAATTTAAGTAATAATAAGAGTAAAAATTAAAATGTAAGAGATTAATTATAAATGAAACTAAATTGTAGAATGTAACTAAGTAAGAGAATGAAAATGAGTTTAAAATTAATTAAAAAATGGGTTAAGTTCAGAATCTCTTAATGTTTTTCCATTGCATCAAAATTATATAACCTAAAATATAATCTAATCTAATGGCCAGATTTCCACAGTAACTAATACCAATTCAAATTTATATTTGAAATTTGTAACTGTGACAAAAAAAAATTCTTGTAATAGGGGCAAAAAATATAATCCTAACAATTTTTAAGCAATATATCATCCACATTTGTAATACAATAAACAACGCCATTTTGAAAATTAATTAAACAAATTAGTTTAAGAATAAAATAAGAAGAAGAAAAAAGTATAAAGAAATTAAATTTATCATATCACTCTGATAAGTCTGTATTTTGTCATGCTTTGTAATCTACTTATTCTTATTTAAATTGGTTTTGCACTTATTATTTCACTGATAATTGCAATTTAGCATGTTAAGAGTCCTGATAGATATTGAGATATTTTGGGTTCGAATTAGTGAAAAATAGGACAAGTATGCCCACACTTTAATAGCTAGCACACTATGTTTCAAAACATATTAGTGTGCATAGGTGTGCTTCTTGTCCAAATATTTAAATTTAAAAGAATATTAGAATTTCAAAACCCTATTTAAAGAACTTGGAGGATTGCGACTTAGACATCTTGGTTTTGGTGTACACGACCGTATCACATATAGTTAATGAATCTATAACATAAAATTAGAGAAAGAATTAAGTGGATCAAACTTAACTTTTCTCTTCCAATCGTTATTAAATTAACAAGTTCATAGGTGTTTTATGTTTTATCTTAAATCATAAGGAAACCAGAATTTGAATTAGATTAAAAGTAAACAAAGTAAACATAAAGAAGTGTAAAAGTAAAATTATACGTCCTAAGTTCTTCTCTAATAGTCTAATTAAAAGTTGCACCATTTTATTTGTCTTAAGTTGTTAATTTGATTTGTTCTTAGTTTAATTTTATTACATATGTTCAATGTTCAAACAACTAAAACATAATTTTCTTAGTAATTAAAAATAATCTTTGTAGGACAATATTTTGAAAACTCAGTTTGAGAATCATCTTTATTATTTTTCGACGAGTATACTTGCTCGCGAACATACTCTTTGATTTTGCCATTATCAAAATTTTATATATGTTTTTGAAATTCTCTAACTTAAAAAGAATCACAAATCTTGTAATATCAATATTTTCAACAACATGCATATCATTGAAATCCCTATAATAAAAGTGATAATGAATTATTGAAAATTTGACTTAAAAAAAGTAAAATATTATCAATCATTACATTAATAGAAAAAATTAATATAATTTCAATAATATCTGAATGAATATATAAAATGAGTAACTTTTACTATTATTAAAATATAGCTTTTATTTGGTCAAATACATAATAGTCACTGGGAGAAATTTAAGGAGCTATTTCTCTGGGTTTCTTAAATTGAATGTGTGACAAAGGTGAACTCCATTGCTGTTATCAATATGTCATGTTGTTTACTTATAGCAACATCAAATCAACCAGAACGTGAAACATGGAGAGAAAAAGCAAACGGTTTTTTCTTTGAGTGTTATATTAGTGAGATAAAATTAGAGATTAAGAGAAAATTCCATGAGTGTAATTTTGGATTTAAATATTAGAGATTTAGAATATACTCTTTAGGCTCGGTGATACTACCATTGTAGACATAACTGATAAACATATAATTAGATTTTCTCATCCACTGGTATTAATGTTAATTACCAAACCATAAGAATATCGCTAGTTGGATGATAAATAGCATAAGAGTTCAATGCAAAAATTAAATATTATGCAGCAATTGAAATTTACTTAAACTCTGTTGAATTACTTTAACGTGAAAATAAGATTGAGTGCAAGAAACTAAACAATTGACAATTTAATTACAGAATCAAAATGGGTACGAAGTCAGTAAACAAGTTAACAATTAATATAAGAGTGGGTTGAGTTAGGATTTCTTAATTCTTTCTCATTGCATAAAGTTTGTATAACCTAGAGTACAACTTTTCTAATGGTCAGATTTTTTATAATACCAAATGTCAATTCCTTGATCAATTGATTCTAAACTAACTCTCAATTCCCAATTCTTTAGTAAATGAAGAGAAGGTCAGCATTAAGTTTAGAAATAAAAGTGACCACACCATTAAAAATTTCTATTCCTAAGTAACCCATAATGAGCTACTTAATCTATTTCCAAGAATAATTCAAATTTTCCAATGAGAAGATTCTCTTTTTCAACTCTGAATGCTAAGAAACAAAGAAGCATTAAGTTTAGGATTAAATAAGTTAGAATAGAAGTGATTTGAGTTATAATTCACATTCAGATTATCCCAATGATTTAAGAATCAAGTTCACCCTTCCTCAGTTCTAATAAAATCAGCAAGATATTGCAGATATAAAAGAGAAGAAACTGAAATATATTGCAGAAATAAACTTCATGTTCAACTATAAGCAAATCATAGGAAATATAAAATGTAGAAAATCATTGTTCTATTAAAGAGTAAAGAGAATGAAGGGATGTAACTCCACTTCCCATCAAAATTCCATCAAGAAGAAAAGGAGAAATGGAATAAAGAACATCATGTGTATAAAGGTGTACGGAAAATCTAAAATTATGTGTCTGAAAAGTGTAAGAAAGAGGTGTTGCCTTCAGTAGAAAATTTTATTTTTATATGTTCTGTCAGACCCGTGTCCCCATAATCAACTATGCGTGTGTCACAAATCAGTCCTTCAGTGTAATGCCTCGAATTTTGGTAATATTAATTATTATATATATATATATATATATATATATATATATTCATATGTGTGTTGATTTATTTGATAATGATGTTTATGTATATTAAGTACGTGGATGTGTGTATTTATGTGTATGCATGACTGGATAGGCTGAAAATAGGCTAAGTGCCTAAGTACAGGGTGTAATACTGGGTTGTTCTCGCTGCAGCAAGAGGAGAAAGCAACAGTTTAGGATGCATTTCTGGGTGCAGTCTCGCTGTAGCGAGATTCTGTAGAAACCAGATGCAATTTTGTCTGCGATTTTCGCTGTGGCGACAGAGGGCATCGCTGCAACGAGAATTTCTCGTTGTAGCGAGTGTCGCGATCTGAGGGGTTTTAAAATGGGGTTTATGGATTTGAGATTCATTTATCAAATTCCCTCCCAAATCTCTTCAATTCTCTCGACCCAAAGTCCTATTCCACTGATTAATTGCCTCCAAAGTCGTTCGGAAGCTTGATTAAAGATTGAACCCATGTGGGGACGCTTGGAGGTAAGTTTTAATGGTTAGAGTTTCAGTTTTTCATCCCCTTTCTCTGTTTTCGTGGTTTTCTTGGGTTCTCATGGAGTTTCTCCATGTGTTTAGGATGAAATCCGTGAGAGGGAGCACTTCTTGGTGGATTTAGCGTATGGGACATCAATTCGAGGTAAAGGGAGACTATATCCTACTCTATTATGTGTGATTTGTGGTTAATTATTGAATATTGTGATATAACTGAGTTAGAGGGTAGGAAATTATTGAGAAATGTGATGAGAGTCGTGTGCCGTGTGTCGTGAGATGTGAATATTGTGTGTGTTGAACCAAAATGGACGAATGTGAATTGTATGCTAGATGTGGCATATAATTAATAAAAATGATTATTTTCAAGCACAACAAATTTATCTTTATCCTTTAACATCGAAAACTTTTTTATAGTATATTTTCCTTCCATTAATATACCTTGAACATGTGAACAATACCTTTTCTTATTGAAGCATGTATATAATTGCTTTAGAAAGGGGAAAAATTAATCAATTAAAATTTTTTATAAATAAATTAATCAAAAGTTAGTTAATATACAATAATATATAAAAGACAAAATAATTAAGATTAATTAATAATAATAAAATTTTAATATAAAAATACAAATATTAATATATTTTCATCAATTAATACCATGTAAATACTAATGAACTATTTTTTTCAATATACATTTAAAGTGTCTCACAAATGTGATATACACACTTTTATTTTTCTAATCATTTGTTGTGAAATTCAAACTGTTAAAGAAAGTCCATTGATCTACATTGGAAATTCTTCTCCTGTAAAGTATGAAAAAATATAAAAATAAAGATTTATCTGTGATAAATATAAATTGAATTCACATAATCAAAACAAAAAATATAGATTGGTTAAGATATTTTAATTAAAATATATTATGAGTATTATAAAAATAATCAAAATTTAATAATCTTAATTTGTTTATCAATTATATTTTATTTATTATTAGTATGTTTAAAACCTCTTTAAAAAAATATAAATATATTTATAACATGAAATCTTATTATTTTTTAAATACATTTATAGATATTTTATTTATAAAATTTAAAATATGAACATATATGATACATTAGAGTAGGGTGAATCGTAGAGATCTCAAAGAGCGTTGAAATCGAATGAGAAGGAACGGGTGCTGTGAAAGAGCAGCTCGCATTGGCATTGTATTACAAAATGAGAGTGAAAGGGAGGTGGAGGTTCGCGGTGGGTGGACGCTTGTGACGGCTTAACAAAAAAAATCTCAAGCAAAATTTAACAGCTATGTTGGTCATCTACAAACGTTACCAACATTTTTCTTTACAAATTTTTTAGAGAATCATAAAATGTCAGTACTATGGGAGATATTCTAGAGGTATGGGAAGGTTGATGATTTGTTTATTTTAAAGAAACGGTACAAGGATGGATGTAGATTCAAATTCATGCGGTGCAGAGGTTGGGGATGTCCATGGAAAAGAGACTGGGTTTCATAATGATAGGCAACATGCTAATGATAGTGAATGTGTCTAGATATAGCAAAGCTGAAAATAAACAGAAAATCACGAAATAAACTCAGGATGTTGTGCATGTAAAGGTGTCGAAACCATTAATCGATGTTGGGACCAAGGTGGAAGGGAGAGGTAGTGATGGTGGACGGAGCTATGCATATATGGTGAATGGGGAAGGGAGCTGTTAGAGGGCCAAACAAGAATGTGGTGTGGGTACTTAAGAAAAAACAGTGGTGTCACAGTGAGTTCCATATTGATCAAGATATGGTTTGTAAGGCAGTGGTGGGAAGGTTACACCGGCCAAAAGAGCTCAATAGTGTAGCTGACTTCCTTTTATAGAAATCTATACTGAATTTCAAGGCCATTACCATAGGTGACGATATGGTTCTGTTAGAATCGGAGGGTCTAGAGGATCTGGAGAAGGTTATAACTAGGTATAAAGATGGCTTGTCTAAACTGTTTTATACCATTGATTAGTGGCATCCTCGTACGATGGTTATTAATAGAAGAATGTGGATTCGTTTGTACGACTTTACAAAGACGTATGGATTTTGTAAGAGTTCATCTATGAACTCAAACACATGCGCTGATTAATGAAGATCCAAGAATTCATGTTAATGATCTCATGTTCTCAATATGGATGGTCGAGGAACATAGAGGAGAATTCTTTCGAGGAGGGTGATGGTATCATGATTCAAATACTTTATTGTCAGAAAGTTATGATGATGCTTCATTAGATTTGGAAGCTTTGGAGGATGAAAGTTCAGATGATGGTGAGAAAGGTCGTGATCTAACAACAGGAAGCGCAGCAAAAAAAAAAAATAGTGACCAAACATTGCATAGTATCAGAAGGAGTTTGAAAGTACATAATCAAATTCTATGGAGAACGTAGCAAATGTGCGAATGAGAGAGAATTCAAATTATGAAGTGAATATCAATAATGACTTGATTTTCAATAATAATGTAAATGTTGTGCGATTGAGTGAAGATGCGTTTGAAAAGGAGGCTGACCAAGGTGTGTCTTTGCTGGTCAAAATTTATGAGAAGGGAATTGGTGGGATATGGGAGTTGACGAAGGATTATGGCAATTGAGTGTTGATGATAAGGGACCAACAGGAAGCAAGAATGTGGCACAAAAAAAGTTTATGGGCGAATTTGATAGCCTGATTATTGGACCTTTTCATGGTTCAGACGATACTAATCACATATTGAGTCAAAAACTAGATTTTTTTCAATCTAATGTTGTTGTTGAAGTGGTAATGCAAGAAAGAATTAATGTTAGAAGTGCACTTCGCAAGGTAAGGAGAAAGAAACATGACTCCAAATTACAGACTCGATCTAATTATACAAAGGGATCAAAGCTTGGACCAAATGTATGGAATATGTATCTTAGAAGTAACTTGCAGCAGGACCTTTATAAAGATTAATTATATATGTGAATTGGATTAATGATTCCTTGACATGTATTGTTAATTTCCTTTAGAACTGTAACGGATTAAAGTATCATTTGTACTCTAAATTTATCCTTAATAAAATGTGATACTTGAAAAAAAAAATATGATACATTAAATCCATGATATAATTTTAAATAATCTAAATTAATATTATTGTATGTTATAGATCAATTAAGAAGATATTAATAAGCTTGATATCACTTAAAAATAATGCAGTTGTATGTTTTCTCAACAAACTAAAATGAAATATTAAATATAATTTAGTGAAACAAAATAAAAAAAATATGAACTATATATATATATATATATATATATATATATATACACTTACATAAATAACCAGATTAAATAAATAAATGAAAATTTTACTTATTTTATAATAATTATTATATAATAATCAGGTTAATATCTTGTTTTTTATAATTACTAAAGTAACCTTAAAGAAATTCAGGTTAAAATAAGTTTTGTAAAACTAAATTTAAATTATAAATTTAAAATTAAAATATTTTAATATTAATGATTTATATATCTTGTATCGTAATTACTTAATTGTCGTGCAGTTATGAAAAGAACGGCAAAGCATAAAGATTGAAGACTTACAATAGTAAAAACTCAAGCTCCTACTGCTCAAACAGGCCACTCGGGGTGTTCGGAATATTTTATACGGTAATACAGACCCCGTGCTCCATGAGGGACGAACATTTCACGAAAAGAGTAAAATACCTGGGCTAATTGATTTTTTAATAAGTTTTTAAAATTAATTATCAAAATCCCAAGCATAACATGTCACGTCACATTCGAAACTTTTTTTCATTTGACGAAGCATAATATTTTTAAAAAAAAAATATTAAAACCCAAGCAATCATTTACTTAAAAAATGGCACAAAATCCCCAAAAGATTTTGACACATCTCAACATTTTAAATAATTTCATCTGAACAGCCTGTGAAACTTATTTTTAAAATAATGGTTTATTCAATATACAAAATTTATTTAAAAAATAAAATTTACCATTTGTCACATGCCTACAAGCCACTCTACACGGTTCCATTGCGTGATACAGGGCCAAGGTGGTGGGTTTTGGTCTCGTTGCCGGTCACAGGGCATTCATAAAGACAAACCAAACCTCTAGGTCTACCCCCCTTGTGGTGCTCCCTCTGCCTTTCCTTTTCTACATTATAGTTGAACATTAGCATTTAATATTTGTAATTCAGTATATAATGCGAGATCATTAGAATATTAATCACCTAATTAATGTTAAATAAGCAATATGACTTCTCAAAACGACTCACAGGTAATATAAGTATAATTTGGATAAAATTTCATAGGAAAAAAATTGATACACAAAATAAATAAAGCTCTTTTTATAAGTAAAAAATAACTAATAAAAAGAATGTCAGTAATTTTAAAAAAAGTATAACTTAATTTTAATTTATAAAAAAATTAATTAACTTTATTGTTTAGTTTTATAAATATTTATCGATAAAAATTTATCATATATATGGAACCTCATATATCTTCCCCGAGTTTTACATTTTCAACCTTGATAAAACTGATGAAGATTCGTCATCTTTACTTTCTGATAACTGAAATTATTTCAAAATTTGCAAAAGCCACCCCCTTGACCGTCCATATACAATGGGCACGCAGTACGACAACGTGCGGTGACCTGGAGGCGTGATTTATATAACTACTTGAGTTAGTGATATAAGACATGATTTAATAACTAACTTGAATTATTCATATAAAACATTATTGTAATTTTTGTCCGCTTATATTTATTTCCATAAGAAAACCCATAATAATGATAATGTTTGATGAAGTCTATAGTTTTGTTTCTTTCAACATACTCCTTATCTTTAACAGATGTACCAAGAAGCAATGAATCTATAAACAATGCATTACCCATGGCCACGATCATGATCTCATCTACACAGGTACTTTCGAATTTAATACAGTTTAAAAATGTGAAAATGCTGATAATTGGGGTGGAAATTAAGCACGTTTCATCCCGTTAGTCAAAGAAGTGTATATTTTAACAACTATGTATGAAGCCGTACAGTATTCAAATCCTATGACATGCATTTGTAGAAAAAGGCAACTCAACACAGCAGAAATAGCACGAAACACTTTGCACTCTAAATCTCTATAATTTTCAAAAAGGGATAACTTGGCGATTGGAAAATAAACAGAAGGTAACAATAGGGTTACATAATATTTATTAAAATAAACAAAACTAAGATATTAATTTTAAAATGAATTATTATGAAATATAAGAAATATTTATTAAAAATAAAAATTGAATCCTTATTCATTTCCGTCCTTTCTACAACGATAAGTAATAACCAAGTTCTGAAGAAAAGCACAAGACATGAAGCGATTAGATGGTGGAGGCCTTGGTGAGTGACTTGACGACAACGCCAGCACCAAATGCAGAAGCCTTATACTCCAACTCAAACGTATCATAACGCAAGAACAAGTCAACCAAAAACAACCTACAAAGCAACACCACCAGATTCTTCCCTGGACACTGTTTATTCCCCGCCGAAGGTTCCTCAGTTTCACGCCCATTCGACCAAAGCACGTGGTTCAACATCTTCTCACCCTCTCCCACAAACCTACGTGGCATGAAAACCTCAGCATCCTCGAAAATCCTAGAATCTTTGGTCGCGAAGGGTTGATACCCGAACAACATCTCCCCTTTCTTCACCTCAAACGACGCGTCGTGGCTTTGCACTATCAAGTCCTCCCTCGCCCGCGCGTACTGATACGGCACCGTAGGCTCAATCCTCAACACTTCGTAAACCACAGACTTCACCAGAATCATTCTCTCCAACGCGCCCACAGTCACCCCACCTTCCTCCTTCACCACGCGCCTTATCTCACTCGCGAGCTCCTCGTGCAGCTTTTTGCCGCACAGTCCCACCCACTTCATAACCACTGGGAACTGGTTCTTCAACCCACCGTAGGCATTGAAACCCGCCATGAAAACGAGGTTGTGGCACGCTTCGCTTCGTTTAAGGCCTGCTTTCTCGGCCTCGTCGAGAACCGTTGTTGCGGAGGTTCTGAAGGCCTCGTAGAGCTTCTTGTAGCCGGACTTTGTGAAACACGCGGGGAAAGGGAGCGTGCGGATCAAGAAGTCTTCGATGTAGTTGAAGATTTTGGGGAGGCCAAGCGTCGCAAGTGGCACCAGCTGCAACAGCAACCACGTGTCAAAGAGCTTCGGTCCCTGAAATGGAGACGGATTTAGAAATAAGAAATGAAGATAATACGTAATAATTTAAACAAGTTTTTTTTTAAACTCAGTCTTTAGTGTTAAATTTAAGTATTTATAAATAAAATTTATAAAAAAATATACAGTTATTATATTAAAATTATAAAAGTATAATAAATATTTTTTTAACAAAATTTTATTATTATTAATTATTTAAATAAAAAAAATAGGTTGCGGAAATATCAACTCCAATTTCTGAAACGAAATCCAGTGAACATTAGCCTTAAAATTATGAAAAAAAATTACTTACTAAAATCTGTAAGCCTGTGTTATTTTAATTTTTTATTCCCACCTTTGCCATTCGTTAGTCATTCTTTATGCTTCATTTTATCTTTAATACCAGGTATCAAATTAATTGATACATGCTAGCTAAAATTAACGTTCAGAAACTAAGAATTAAATTAAAGTTACATAACTCGCTTACTGCATGACATATAAGTTAACTCATAATTAATTATTATGGAATAACTGTATAATTTTTAAACTAAATCAACCCTAATTACCATTTTTAAAGATTGATCTTATTATCTTAATAAAGTAAATATTCAATATTAAAATAATAATTAATAAATTCTTGTAATAATTTTACATGTTTCACGTAATTTTAATGAATTTTTTTATATATCAATTAATTACTCACTCTGTATCCTTTGGATATTAATTTGCAAAAACTGTTTAATAGAGTATTTTCTGTCGTAAAATTCTTATAAATTGCTTGAATTATATTTCATTAATTTTTATATAAATTTTATAACAATATACTTTCTCAAGTCATTTTTATAAAAAAATAAAATAGAATATTTTTTTAATTTTTATTATAAAAAATAAATGATAAATTTAAGATATATTAATTACTAAATTTTTTTATACTTTTTTATTAGTATTATTAAAAAACTAAAAAAATATTACGTCTTTTTATTTTAAATTATTTAAGTAGTTTTCAAGTTCCACCACACAACTTTTAAAAAGTTATTAAATAGATTTTATTATTTATTTCACAATTTTATATGTATTCAATATCTTTTCACGTACCTTTTGCCAATCTGTATAAGCAATTATTGCTTATACAAAGAATAATTTATTTTTTTAAAATGACAGCTCTGATAGATCACATCCCTCATAATTTATTTCTTACATCATGAAAAACTATCGGAGCAATAATACTTACCATACCTAAGTTTTATCATTTTATGAAATAAATTAATATTTTACTTAAATAAAAATTATCCGTTAATCACGCTTCACCACTGTCATGACACGAGTTTGTATTAGTAAATCATAAATGGTTTTCAAAATAATAAATAATAAAATTGATGTAAAAAAAAAAGAAAAAAGTTTATACTACCTGAGAACCGAGGTTGGTTTGGGAAGGGTTTTTGTTATCGCAGAGTAAGCGGAATATGAAGTTGAAGGAAGCGTCGCTGAGGACGGCGTTGAAGTCCGCTTCGGCGTTCTTCCCCGACAACTGGTCCTCAATCTCAATGAAGGAGTCCTGGAGACAGCTACGAAATAGAGGGACAAAAGAGTCCTTTCGCGCGGCGAGAAGGGTGAGGAAAAAACTTTTGATGACAGAATGCTTGGGTTCTTGTGTATCGAGGTAGGCGCAGACTCTGTAACCGCCGGTGAACTTAGTGGAGGGCATGAAGGTGCCATCGAGAACGTCGAGCTTTTCGACCTTGGAGTTGTCGAAGAGGATGGGGAATGAGGCACCGTCCAACAGGGCGATGACACGTGGATCAGAGGAGATGAAGGGACCAGGGGGCATGTTTGTTCGGATGACGGTGGAGTGAAGGTTTTGGATCTTCGTGGCGAAGAAGTTGTCGCGGCCTTGGTGATAGAAGTAATTGTGTCTGTCGCATATGGCTCCGAAGAATGGGAGGCCATAGCTTCCTGGGATTGGTTTCAGTGGGAGTTGCTTCGCTCTGTCTGAAGATGCCATGGATTTTGTTTGGCCTGTTATGGGATGAACTCTCAAAAGGAACAAGATTGGTCTGAGAAGGAGTCTCTCATTATTTTATAGTCCATATACTGAGGGTGGAGTTGGTCCCTCACGCGTGTAGATAAATTATATAAACCTCAAGAAAGTTTTTGTTTTTCAAGTTTCGAATTAAGTGACGGGTCAAATTCTTCAGTTACTTATTTTGAAGACTTAAATTTATTTCACTCTATGAAGATAAGTGGGATTAATTCAAACGTCTAACGAGTTAGAGATAAGAATAAGATATCTAATTCATCATTGTCACATAATCAAATAATTATAAAAAAAAATTTATTTATTTTTAAAAATAATGCTGCCATCGCCCTCTCTCCTTTTTCACTGTTTCTCAGCACTTGGTCATTCTCTCCTCTTCCACAAGGTCATGCACCCCTCAATCTAATAATAATAATATACAAATTATTATATAATTTCGGATGTTTCAAATAAAAAAATCGATTCAGGAAAGGACAATTAGTAGGCAGTGGAATTGGTTTATGCTTGCATATGAAAAACGATTTAAATATATAATCATAATATATATGATTAGGTTGATGCTAGCTAGCAACGCTAAGGGCCACCAGCATTAAAATACATTTCATTCCATTTCATTGTTTAAGCAACTAGGGATGAAAATTAGGTTAAGATTAAATTAATATTTGTAAAAATTATTTATAATAGATAAGACAGTGATATACCAAATTAGTTTAGATTTGAGTCTAAATATTAATTTATAATTTTTTATAACTGTACGTTGACATAAGTACTATATTACTTGACTTTATTTATATCTTTATGGTATATTTATTATATTTTATAAATAATATTTAAAATATAAAATAAATTTTAATTAATAAAAAATAACTTTATTTATTTTATAATTAAGAATTAAATTACTTAAAAAATTATTTATGTTATTTATTTTGTTTTTAATTACTTCTAATATAATAATTTTATCTATAATATTGGTATTATAATAATACTTAAATTTTGTTAATTTGTCAAACAAAAACATAGTAAAAAATAATGTCCAAATTAAATAAAATGGGAGTAATGAATCTAAATACAACTACGCAGACACTCAATTAATAACGATACAAAAAATGAAGTTATTACACCTATAAACATATGTCTAAATTTGATTTTATAAAACATATATTAAACAATGTAATATTTTAGTAAAACCCTACCGGTTTTCATTCCTATTAAAACTATGTTGCTCCCACCTTTGGGCTAAGATAAAGTGTGAAAACTATCGCCGAGCAGATTAAAAATAAAGAAAGGAAGAACAAAATATTAAATAATGTTTACTATATATTAATAAGCTCCCAGAATATTGTACATGTATTCTTAATTTTAAATAGAACTTAAAAATTTAAATTAAATAATGTCCAAGAAAATATATACCCAAAACAATGCCTGATCAAGAATTGATTTTCGCCGAATTCGGGGTCCAAAATCCCCAAATATACCATCCCGAATGAGGGGAATTATGGGCCAAAACACTACTGGATTTAATTTTTTATATATGAAATTTGAAAAATATTTATATTAAAATAGGATTTTTTAAAAAAAATTATAGAAATATAAAGTTTAAAAACCATTATTGATATAAGTACTGATGAAATAACTAAAATTATTAAGTTTTAAAATTTGTACTGATAATTATTTAATAAAAATAATTAAAATTATAAAAATTCAAAATTTACCAATGATGAATTTTTAAAAAATAATACAAATATTTAAAAATAAACAAGTGTTACTAACACTTTTTTAAAAATAATAATTTTTAAAAAAATTTTAAAAATATTATAATTTTTATAAAAATCAGCACTAATAATTTTTGAAAAATTCTCATATTTTTATAATTTTTTAAAATGTAAATTTTTTATTTTTATATATAAAAAACCACACTAATTTCATGAAATAATAAATTAAATATAGTAAGTAAAAAATAAAATTATAGAACTATGATGTCTTTTGCTAAATTACATGAATATGAAGTCTCAAAAAACATTATTAACAAGTTTTTGATGAAGTAGAAGCAAAGGTGCATTTTCTGATACTTCGTTGACGTGACTTTGAGTTTGATGGAGGACAAAAAATTTGTAATTGGCTACCTTTGTGCCTTGAACACCTCTGCAAGTAGCTAAACGCAGTTGATGAGTGTTGGGGGTGCTTAAAACTTGTCATTGGCAACCTTTAACCAAGTCAAGGAGTCTTTCATTTTTATTGTAGTCTTTGTAGATGTATATACTTGGCAGGAATCTATGGTTTTCTAAAAAATTGCAAATGACAATTTTTGCATCAAGAATATTTACATTTTCACTGTTGAACTTGAAGGTAGATAGTGCAGCCATAAGTGTGGAAGGAGAGAGAGAGACAGAGAAGTTTGAGATAGTAGGAGAGGGGAGAAGGAGTGTTTTGAAGTAGACGAAGGTGAAAAAATAAATCTAAGAAAAAAAATTTGAATGAAAAAATTATTAGTTTTAAATTAGAATAAAAAAATATATTAAAAAAATTCGTTAGAGATTCAACTTCAAGAAAGCATGTTTTAAAAAAATATTCATAATTTAAATGTAAGTATTCTTTTGTTAATTTCTATATTTATTTAGAATTTGATTTTGATTAAAAAATTATTAAATATATCCATAATCTTGAGTATTTTAGAAAAAATTCACATTTATTCATATTTTTAAGTAGAAATTATTATTGTTATAAATTTTGTTAATAAATCAAAATTGTTAAATATTTGTAAATAGTTATTTTGACATTTATTAACATAATTTTTAAATTTTATAAATTTTAAAAATTAACTTAAATATATTTTTTTTGGTATAATTAGTTAGTAAATATAATAAATTATAACATATTTATGTAAATGTAATAATTTGTTATATTTATAATTATTTTGATGAAATTGGAAAAAATTATGTTTATTAGTAATTGAAATTATTTAATACGAGTAGAAATTATTATTAAATTAAATTTTATTAGTTTTTTAAATTTATTAACATATTTTTAATATTTAAATAAATTTTTAAAATATAATATAATATATTTATTTCGATATAAATAGTTAGTAAATATAACAAATTATAACATATTTATCATAATGTAATAATAATTTGTATTGTTAAAAAATGCTAATGATAATTTTTAGTAAATTTTTATTAATTTTTAAGGTTTAAAAGTTATTAATGACCAATTTTTATAAATTTATTAATTTTTTATACATCAAAAGTTGTTGATGACGATGACAAACTATTTTTTTAAATTTAAAATTTTGTTAATAACAAATTTTAATTAAATTAAATTTTAAGACTTTGTCATTAACGACTTTTAATTTTTACTAGAATTCTGACAAATAAAAACTTTATTAGTAAGTTTTGTAAAATAAATCATATTTGCATAATTTTATCCGTATTTTTAAAAAAACCACACTAATTTCATTGGTTTTTGCCAAAAGATAGGTACTGCGAAGAGTGGGAGAGTGACAAGACATCAGCACGCCAAAGATGGATAGAGATGCGAATACGAGGTGTTTTGAGGAACTTCCCAAGCAACGGAGAATAAGGAGAGACTCTCAGGATTTAACTTAATGTCCCGGTCAAAAAACTTTTATCGGACGTCTGCTCAGTACTTCCCTGAACATAAGCGCGTGACGTGTACGACACGAGACTTACAAAATAATAGAATAAAATTAATATAAAATTTTATTTTATTGAATATATATATATATATATATATATTTAAAAATATGTTAAAAATTTTGTAAATATAATTAAGATATAGATTTAATTTGAATTTTTTTAGATAAAAATATTTGTAAGGAAAAATAAATATTTTTTATAAATTAAAATAAATTTATATACTTCAAATTTTTAAAAAATTAAATAACATATTTTTATGAAAATAAAAATTACAAAAGAATTTAAATTTATAAAAATTAAGTTATCAATTCATTATTACATTTACTTTTAAAAATATTTATACAGTTCGAACAATATAAATAAAATTAAGTTATTTATAATTAATTAAAAAATATTTTTTAAAATAAAAATTAGATAAATCAAATCACATATATTATATATATGAATAATATAAATTTAGATAATAAAAAAATATTATTAAAAAATAAATACTGGACGTAAATATTTTTATATTAATATTCTATTAGTAGAAATATTCTATACATATTATATATATTTATTTAAATTTATAAAAAATTTATTACTTCATTAATTTTATTTTTAGAAATACTTATTAACAACCTTATTCAAATTGAGTCATACAATATTATTTAATTCAGAAAATAAATTTTACATTAAAAAAAAAAACTTACAACAGGCTTATATTATTCTGCTAGTGAGAAATAGATTAAAATAAAAAAAATTCCTATCATATATTGTTATCGCGTCTGACAGCCCTTAAAGATCAAAGTGATAAATGGTTAAAAATTTTGGAAACTAACTATAAATTTTAAAAATTAAAATATTTAACAATTAACATCATACATATTGATTTATTATAATTTTGTGATTCTTATTTTGACATAATATCTCTACAAATTACTATCTCCTTACTTTAAAAGTGTATTTTTTTAAAAAAAATTCAAATAAGTAATTTATTTATTAATTATGACATCCCAACGCAACCAAAAATTAAAAATTCCGCGTGTGCAGGCCAGGCACGTGTCCATTTTAATCTAATAATAATAATAATAATAATTTCTATCAAAGGTCACATGGACACATGGCCTTAGGGACAAAACGATGGATGTAATACGAGCCAAAGTAGCTCCAGCAATTCTGATAATTAAACCATGTGCGCAGGCCAGGGAACGTCCATTTCAAGTGTAGTGTATAGTCTAAAATTTTTAAAGATATTTTGGAGTGTTAATAACATTTTTTTTAGTTGATAATGAAATTTTATTAAAAATTATAAAAATAAAAATCATATTTATTAAATTAAAAGGTAAACT